TCAGGACATGAAACTAGTAAACCTAATAAAAATAATAACAAAAGATATATCAGACAAAAATTTGTTAAATCAAGTTTTTAAGCTCCTGCTCTGTGAAAAACACCTTAAAGAGAACAAAATGACAATCCACAGAATGGGAATATAGTCATAATACCTGTATCTGATAATGGACTTACATTTAGAATATATGAAGAACTCTTAAAATTCAACCATAAGAAGTTAAGTAACCCAATTTTTAACAGACACTTGAAAAGACCATTTACAAATGTAGATAAACAAATAAATAATATGCACATGAAAAATAATTTAATATCATTAGTCATTGGCAAATGAAAACCACAATAAAATACCATTACACAACCACTTGAATGGCTAAACTTCAAATTGAGCCATTATACCAAGAGTTGGCAAGAATACAGACTAACTGAAACTATCATACATTTCTGTTGGGCATGTAAAATGATACAAGCAATCTGAAAACTATTTGGGAGATTGTATTTATAAAGTTAAACATACACTTCTTATATGACACTGCAAATCCACTTACGGGTATTTTCCAAAAGAAATAAAAACATACATCCAAAGACATGTACATGAATGTTCATAGCAGCTTTGAATAGTAGTCCCCAAATGCAAACAACCTGAATGTACATCAATGAATGAATGGATTTTTAAAAATTGTAGCATATCCACACAATGGGATATTATTCAGCAATAAAAAAGAGTAAATTACTGATATACCCAACAACATGAATGAATGAATGAGTGAATGAATGCTGAGTTAAGGAAGCCAACACCCTATACAAAATGTGCTCCATAATGACTTTTCTTATGTGAAAATCTACAAAAATAAATCCAATCTACAGTGATAGAAAATAGGTCAGTTGTCTAGCCCTAATGGAGATTCACTGAAAACATTCTGAGGTAACAGAAACGTGGCTGTGGTTAAGTGGGCATAGGTATGTATTAAAACTCATCAAACCGTATACTTACAAAGTGTGCGTTTTGAAATGATAAATGAAATAACGATTATACTAATCATTCTGATTTGAATACTATACATTGTATGTCCCGAAACATCACTATGTATCCCATAAAATACATAAATATGTACTATTATGTGTCAATTAAAAGTAAATAAATAAAATTGAAAACAAAATGTCTCTAGACATTACCAAATTTCCATGGGGGGAAAAATCCCCTTCAGTTGAAAACCACTGCATAGTCTGCCAGGCTGTTGTGGTATACAGTGCACATTATTGGGTATAGAGAAAACCTGCCAATTCAGACTATAGTGGGGGAGCTGAAAGAAATGAAAGAGCCCTGGAAATTTACTGTGGAAGCTCAGCACAGAGTCCCTCAGGTCCAATGCCAGCTCCCTGCATTGTGTTCCATCTTCCTAACTAGGGTTTCACCTGCTATGCTCCCACTGCATATCACACCTGTTCCCAATAAAGCTACTATTTTCTTGTAAAAAATAAATAAAATAAAATGTGTGCATTTTATTATATCTAAATTGTACCTCAATAAAGTCAATGTTTTAAAAAAGAAAAACTGGTTCCTGACTGAACTTGAGGATAGAACATAGGCTTCTCAGTACTTAAGCAGAGTTTATAGTTGGGCTGGGAAGGACCTGCATTCTAGCTGCACTAAGGACCTTTAATTTGCCCACTGCATACAAAGCATCTTGTCCTCCAAGATCTTTTGTTATAGTCAAAGAATGTGGTCTTGTAGATAATTCCCTACTGAGATGATACATTATAGAGGCCCCTGCTACAGCTAATAGGAGACATCCCTCTCCACCTCATTAATCTTTTTTATTTGGCCGTAGGTAAGTAAGACCAGCATCAAATATAAGGAGCCTTCACTTTAAGGTGTCTCTGGTGCACAAACTTGGAGCGAAAATGTAAGGAAAGAAAAGTGTCCAGAATAGATCCCAGTTTACCACCAAAGCAAGGAAGTCAATTGAATTTGGGATAGAATAAGTGGTCTAAAAACCAAGACTGTAAGTAGCTTTAGGGGATGAAATAAGCCAAGTATAACTTTTGAGGTTGCACTATATAAAATAGTGCCTTAGAATAATGTTTTCCAAAGAGCAGGACAAGTATTAGTCATGGTACGTGAAATGATTTGAAGGATTTTTGAGATGAATTGAGGTGGTAAACTAACATGACATTACATAACATTGAATAATTCTTTCTCTACTTCTCTTAGTTATTCTGATTTTATATCAAAAAGTCTCATTTCCTGCTACTATGTCTTTAACACTTCTTTTTTCTCTCTTCTAAACAAAGAGAAAACACAAAATGCCTAATTGGAGCGCAGTCGTATTGCTTTCTTGTTTGTTTACATCGTTATTTTCTATTTATGGCAAGTAAACCTGTTTTTAAATTTGTGGTAGTGATACTGTTTCTATAAAATAAATGGTTTTCAGTTTAAAAAGGTGATTTATTAAAATAAGTAAAAAAATACTATAGTGGTATATTGATATGTAGTATATGAATACCTAAGATTGGATAACAGTGCCCTTTAAGGCACTCTATATACATATAGAGATTTTATCAAAAAAAAGGAAGATTAACTCGTAAGCAAGAGTATGTATCTATATATAAATATGAATGTATCACTAAGCATTAAATTATCACTATATTAGAAATATTAAATAAAACTTACTAGCAGGATAATTTCCATACCATAAACTAGTTTTAAATTCAGAATTACATGCCCCTGAGTGTCTCCCAAAGTTTCAGATGCCAGATGCTGATAAAAGGCCAAATTAGGATATTTAGTATCCTATAAATTGGGATAAAGCACTATAAAATTGGGCCAGTGGCAGAAATATATCTGAACAATACTGAAAAGTCAAATTTCATTCCACTTCTATCTCTCTGATGAGTGCTTTCACTTGAATGCGAGTATATGAAGAAGATATGCAGAAGGTATCCATGAAGAAAAGATTCTGAAAAAAAAAAAACATTCTGTCCCCATAACAGTTGGCAATCTCCTATTTTTTGTTTTGCTCTTTTTTCCTTGGTATCCATCCTACTTTCTTTCCTTTAAAAGAATCCATGAAAATTTACATTTTACTTTAGGTCCATTAATCCTTCAAAAAATACAATTCACATGGACAAATTTCTTCAAAATTGTTTTGCCATTGTCAATGTTTTGACAGTACTGTGCAACTTTTTTAAAAAATCAACCTCAGCTAGACTCTAGAGAATTTTACCCATCAAAATGAAAAAGAGAACTGTGAAACAGATTTTCTTATTTAAAGAAATATAAGACAGTTTGATTTCTACCATGCTTATAGTTTCCCAAGAGTAAAATTAAATTTGGAATGAACAAAGATAAACCTCTTACCTGTTGGAAGGTGCAGTGTTATGTTGTTGCAAAAATCTGTGAAGCAGCATTCAGTTTTGGTAACATTGTTGGAACTATGACAGAAGACTTGAGCATTTAATTCTGGGAGGGAGACACAGGATTTGATCACCTGTTCTTTCCCATTGGTTAGCATAACTGATGCCCAACATGCTCCTTCTGTTTGGCAGGTAAAGTTTGAAGAATCACACAAAAGACATACACACTTCAATCCTGGAAAGAGTAAGGCAAAAAGCTTCAAAATACAAAAGATACCATGCAAATTTATTTCATAATACTTGAGAAAAGAAATTCAATCTTAATGAAAATTGGAAAAGGGTTTAAATAAGCAGCACTTGATAAACACACGCTAATCCTCTTACTCCCTCTCAGTCGTGTGTTTCACTAAATAGGCTGCTCAATTATCATTTACTATTGCTAGTATTTTTGTGAATTTATTCAGTTGCTACCTATATTTTGAAATATTTTCCTCATCCATACTCCAAATCCCTCCTTCTTAAGCTCAATCAGCTCATTCCTAATTCAATAACTCCTATAAAATACTAGGAAAGAGTATCACAGCAACCAACGGGAGCTGTCCAGCATCACTTGTAGAACATTAAAGTGTGGTTATGGCAGCTGTGTAACCAACCTAATGTGTTCCGTTCATGCACCCTTCTTCCTTTAAACTTTTAAGCAAATGAGCTAAACACAAAACTAACCATAGGTATATATGTCTCTAAAAAAACAGTTGTGAGTCTTTATTTTCTGTGATATTATAACAATTGTTGTTATCGTCATAGTTCCTTTAAGGCATTCGTGAGCCATTATACTTCCCTCTCTTCACTAAGGAACATAGAATGACAGTCATTGGAACACGGACCATGACCTTCAGGCAATTTTCTTTAAAGCACACATCTATTCCATAAAGCAAAGCACACCAATAATAGAATTTAATATATCTACACCAATAAACTTTGAAAAATTATACTTTGCTAAATTAATCTGTTCATTTACACATATCTCCCCAAAATTCCTCACTTACTACACACACAGATACACACACACACACACACACACACACACACACACAACACTGCACACTAACTCAGATCTTCAAAGTGGGGCGATATTTCTCTGTTTTGATGTAAAATATTTGTCAGCATTAAGAGTCCAATGGTTGTGAGCAATTTATTCAGATTTCATTTAATTACATTGTTTCTAAATAGTATAATACTAAATAAGCTTTTTGTACTATTACTTTAACAAAATTTTCATTAAATCATAACTGCTCCCCCACAATTATCTGAATGTCCAAAATCTTACCATACAATCATTGCTACTAAAATTAAAGTCTTTAAATTGGTAATCACTCAAATTGGGGCTGATTTTATACCCATAAAATATTTGATACAAAAATGGCAACTGTTGCTCAATTTAAATGCCATTATAGGAGCAAAAATGGGTAATATTCCTATATAGCTGGACATGTAAGAAAGCACAAATTACATATCAATCAGAAATTATTCTCTTCTTTTGATAGTTTTTCTTGACTGGTGAAATACCATTCCTATATAAACAATTTATTAATCTGTTCTAAGGTAAATACAATACTAAAGTAAAATATGATTTTGTTATCAACATTGGGCATACATAATAGCTCACCTTCCTATTTATTCCAGTGGTGATCAACATAAATAAATATACTCTTTCATCAATATTTATGTGCTACAGTAGAACCATATGTTCTATGTTGATTGGGATTCCATAGAGCTAGATATATACAATCTAAGGATTTAGAAAATTTTTTAGGACACTTTCTTTGCATAAAAGAGAGCTCATATAGAAAGCATCCATTCGCCCAACTGTCTTCTCACAATGGACTCTCTCTAGCATTTTCCAAGTCCATCTGACAAAGGCCTTTAAATCCTGGTTATACCAGTTTTGTAATCTTAGGTACTACTTGGCCCCTCTGTGCCTCCATTTCCTTATATGAAAGGTAAGACTAATAATAATATACCTCCTCATAGTGTTATGGACAATTAATTAGTTAATCTATGTAAAGCCCTTAGAGTGTAAGGGCTTAGACCAATATGTGGCACATAGGAAGTACTATATGAACATTAGGGACTATCTCTCTTACTACTGGAGGAGGTAAGGCTAGTTGCCTTATGAAACAATCGAAATGCATTTGTAATCTGTAGAGGAATAGCCAAATGAACTAGAGTGCAGAAACCATTTAAAAGGCATAACAAAGAAATACACCTCTTTCTGCTCTGCCAGGAGTGATTTGAATGCCCACATTATTCAATGGTCCAGACTAGATCCTACACGGTCACACAGCAGGTGGTGTCTGGCAATGGTCCAGACAAAAAATTCAGGAAAAGGTGATGATCCCAGCCCTTGCTCTGTCACTAACTTGCTGCTTGACTTCAGAGATGACATTTAACCTTACAGACCTTCACTGTCTTCCTCTGAAAATGGAAAATGAACTGGCATAGGGGTAATGGGTCCAGAAATCTTAGGCTCATATGCCATCAACATTTTACGACTCTATGAATTTATGACTTACAGATATCTACAATTACAAAACATGGAAAACTCACTTAACAATTATTTAATAAAAAACTTGCTCCACTGTGGCTATTCTTCACCCTCACATTTTTAGGGGCTAAAGGTGAGAAGAGTAACTTTCCTGACACAAAGTCCCAAACTGTTTGTCACTAGGCTTCTCATCAGAGTCTTTTCGAATGTTCTATCACCAAGAGAAGCTTAGCCAGGAAATCAAGGCAACTTAGAAATATGAATTCACTGAATGAAGGCAACCATAAAGTAACTCAGCAATCAAACATATGCTAATTTCATGTGCGTTCACCATCACATATAATTCCCAGTGCAACTGTAGGAGTTAGTCAACACTATGTCTATTTTATAGATAACAAAATGAGGCTCAAAAAGATCAAGCGATTGACTTAATGTAACAGTCTCTGGACTACTCATGCAACATTGTTTCTATCCTACCAAAGCTGCCAGTAAAAAAAAAAAAAAAGGATGGGCACAGAAACCATTCTCCTACCCCTCAAATTTCTAGCCATTGTGAATAAAATATAATTCTAATACAGCAAAGAGAAATTAATAATTAATTAACAATTGAGATTTAGATCTGTATTGTCCTAATAAGCTTTAAAACACAGCTGCTATTTTTTAAACAAATTCTACCTACCTATATTCTAAGGAGACAGATGGTCAAATAAAAGTCAATATCACGTGCCTTCCATGTAGAATAAATAATGTTCCCTTTCAGCGTATCTAAATTCTGTATTAAGTAAGCCTCTAAGTACCTAACCTGATACTTTGCCTTTGAAGCACTACTGGCTCCTTATAAAAATGATTACGTAATAGCTCTTATCAAGGAATAATGTGGATACTCACCGAATGTTTAACAAGCTATAAAAATTACCTTCAGTTTAAAGTAAAAGGTACCAATCAGAAGAAAAATATAGATCTAGGTGATATAGTTAATATAGAAAATGACACCTTACTTTAAATCTTACATGGTGGAAAACACTAACAAAGTTGAGGATTTGTTAATGATAATGGCTTCAAACATCTGCTAAATGTTCCCACTTATTCCGGGTCAACTGGCAGTACTATAGCACTGACAAAGAACAAACAGCAAGCTAAACAGGACCTAAGATGTATAAGTAACATATGACATATTCAGTCTCTCATTTTTCATTTCCCACCAGTCCACTATATCGTCACATTTGACATATAATTAAACTATATTTATATCAACCATCCTCAACATGGAACCTTTGTGCCGCCAATTAAAATATAAGTTGCCATTGGTGATTAGACTTATGCTTTTATATTTTGGGTGTTAAAAAAGAAACCTGATGTTAATTGAGTCAATTATACTAGAATATACTAGAATATTCCATGACAGGATAAATCTGGTTGTTAGCAGACAGCAGTCCTGCCTTATGTTTCTTTATTTTATACTTTCCCATTACAATGTACTTAAGTCATAGAAAGGGACAGCAAATGAGGTTGAAGAGGGAGGCAATTACCCATAATAAGAAGGTCTATTAGGTTTTTTCCCCACAAGGAAGATTGCATTTTTCTTCTGTCCCCTCCCACCTCTTTAATTATCCCCTTCCCCCACCTTTGCCAATTAGTCTGTAAAAGGCAAGACATCTGTTACCCACAAGACATCTGTTACCTACATCCACCAAAGGATGTGCACATTCCTAACCAACCAGAAAATAAATTTCTATCCATATTTACATGTGATGGCTAGCACACCCTGGTGTCCACAAATGTAAAAAACCATCAGACTACAAAAAAAACAAAAGAACCAAATTTATGGATTTGCATGTATGTGCTATTCTTATTTAACAGCCAAATATTTGCTTGGCAAGTATTAGTTGTTTTGAATTAGACACAATTTTCAATAGGTTGGTTACATATTACCTAGGTTTCTCATATTTTGGGTCTATATGCTAAAATTGGCCAGTGCTTAACATAAACATCTGACACATGCCCTTTTTTCTTTTTCAGATATTAGTTCACTCTATTCAATTTCTCTAATTTTAGACCAGGCTATGAAACACAAAAAGTTTTTCTTAATTCCGAAAACTGTCTCAGATTTGACCTGCTGAATATGTAATCTTTTCAGCATTTGCAGGCTTCTGAATTAACAAAGGAAACAATTCAAGCTTTTCAGTGTGCTGAATATGAAAAGTATGGCAACAGGAAAGGAGCCAGGAAAACTAGCACTAGTGAATCTGAGGGAAAGCCAGACGGGGTCAAAGAAGACCAGGCAAAGATCTGTCTTCCCTTTCTATTCCTTGTCAAAATTTCATTTTCTTGTCATGTGGTCATTTCAAAGCATTTGCCCTTCTTAATGGTAAAGAAAAATAGAAGAAAATAACATTAATAAAAATATGGGCAATACAAATGCAAACCTTTCAGACAATTGAGTTTTCAATAAAGATTCAGCTGATAGAAATACTATTTGCCAGCCTGTACCCAAGAAAATGGAGAACTCCAAAAATATGGGAATACACCCATCACAAAGGAAAATTGTCCCTTTGTGTGCAGTGGCAATTACATTCTCTGCTCAAGAAGGCCTCACCCTTACAGCTGAGAAGGAATGGATCCACCCTACCAGCAGGAATTCCATCCAGGAGAACTGCTCTTGAACTTCAGCTGTAGACATCAATT